CACGTAGATCGACATAGATTATTATATTTTCAATACCGAGTGACTGAATATGATTGGATGGATCTATAAGTAATAGCCAATTACATTCATGTCGGAACACGGCCAAAGTGTATTGTGAAAGTATTGTATTATAATAAGGGAGTCCAGGTGCTAGGAACTAACATGTTCAAGGTGCGTTCCGATAATCACTACCAGTGCTGAAAATCTATAGTACACGTAACGTATATTGTATTATATAGTTTCACTGGCAGTAAACATCGGAATGCATCCTCAGCTTCTTGAAAAAGAAGATTTATTATCTGAGATTGGTAGATCAGATAAATATAAGAAATAATAATAATATATAAAATGACTTACATTATATACTTATTATAATTACACTTACATAATATTTTAATGATAATACCTGTGACAAAACTAGTGATTAAAATGTTTTTATGATAAATGATATGTTTAGAATTTAAAATTGTTATCAATAAAAAAGTCAAAGAGAAAAGAAAAACGTGTTAAATACAAAAACATGAAATAAAACATAAATTATTGATGTCGTATATGCAAAAAGTTATGTATCGGCGTAGAGTCATATTATTATAAAAGGAATAAAAAATAATATAAGTTTCAGGCATATATAAAATGCCTGTCCATTTCATGTATTCTATACTTATCCACTTAATTTATATATAAAAACCGTCCAGCCTTTTTTTTGTTATTAGTCGGTGGTATGTATGTACTACATTTGTACTACTTTTTCACTACGGATGTCCTATTTCGCGAATGCAGCTTGTGGTTACTCTACATAATAATAAAATATTACATACTGCAAAATTGGTAAATTTTTTATGTTGATAATTACCGTCGAACTGTTAATAATCATTGATAAAATTGCTATTAACTTTACCGACTCTTGACAATTATGTATCTTCAATATGTTATCAACATGAGTATTTTTTGTATTAATTCCTTATTTTACTGTAAGGGGCAGCACTTTCATGTCGCTCATTTGTTCAATTTGTTGTTTTATTCATACGAACGAATATTTAATGAAGTAAGTAAACACGTGGTATCGGAGAGAAAAGAGAGAGAACATTAGAGAATATAGGTTAGTTTTAGTAAAAATTAAACGAAGGGACACATAGTTTAGCAAGTGAAAAAACGGAGAGAAATAAATGACTATGGCTAATAGAAAAAAAGTAAAGGCTTATGTGAAAAAAAAGCGCACACCAGAAAGTAAAATAATTGAGGAACTACAATCTAAGTATAACACTGTAAGTAGGTACATTTCAATATTATTATGTGATGTGACACAAAAATTCAAAGATAAAACTAATTACATGTGAAATTATAGGTAGACGTTACGAAAACAACAAAATTCAGTGACTTCCCCTTATCAAGGATTACCTTAAAGGGTCTACTGGAAAACAACTATATTGAAATGACAGATATCCAGAAGCAAAGCATAGGTTTAGCCTTGCAGGGAAATGATATCTTGGGAGCTGCAAAAACCGGCAGTGGCAAAACATTAGCTTTTCTTATTCCAGTATGAACAAATCTCCCATATATTTTAACAATTAGAATGTATTGAATTCATATTTAATAGAATAAAATGTTCCAGATATTAGAAATTTTGTACTGCAAACAATGGACAAGACTAGATGGACTAGGCTCATTAATTATTACACCAACGAGAGAGCTAGCATATCAAATATATGAAACATTGCGAAAAGTGGGTCAGTACCATGATATTTCAGCAGGTTTGATTATAGGAGGAAAGGACTTAAAATTTGAGAGGAAACGTATGGACCAATGTAATATAGTTATATGTACACCAGGACGTTTACTCCAACATATGGATGAAAATCCATTATTTAGTTGTATAAATATGCAGGTAATTGTAAATATTTTCTTTCACTCTTAAATAAATTATATGCTTTCGATAAGATGAAAGTTAATGAAAATACAATTATTTATAGATATTAGTGTTAGATGAAGCAGATCGTTGTTTAGACATGGGTTTTGAGAAGACTATGAATTCCATTATTGAAAATTTACCCCCTAAAAGGCAGACTTTGCTTTTTTCAGCCACTCAAACAAAGTATATATATTTTGAAAGATAATTGCATAGAATTAAAATTTTTTGTCATGATATTGATTTTTTAAAATATTTTTATTAGATCTGTGAAAGATCTGGCGAGATTAAGTCTTAAAGATCCATTATATGTGTCTGTGCACGAACATTCTGCTCACATCACACCAGAAGGCCTGCAACAAAGTTATATTATATGTTCCTTGGAAGATAAGCTAGCAATGCTATGGTCCTTTATAAAAAATCATATGAAACAGAAGATTATTGTGTTCTTTTCCAGCTGTAAACAAGTAATTATTTTTTATATCAACGACAAATTGTCACAAATTGATATTTATTTGTAAAAAATTTTAGGTAAAATATATATACGAAGCATTTTGCCGATTACGACCAGGCATTAGTTTATTAGCTCTTTATGGCACTCTTCATCAGCTGAGAAGAATGAATATTTATGAATCATTTTGCAAGAAACAACATGCTATTTTATTCGCGACTGATATTGCTGCCCGCGGATTAGGTAATTAAATTCTTCTTTGTAAAATATTGTTTACATTATTCATAAATTTCTATATCAGAAAATTTCTTGTACATACTATGTATATAATTTCCTTTAGTTTTTACAATTTTAATAATTGTAATAACTATAATTTTGTAGACTTTCCTGCTGTAAATTGGGTGATTCAAATGGATTGTCCAGAAGATGTCAATGCCTACATACATAGAGCAGGCAGAACCGCTAGATTTAAAAGTGGTGGTGAATCTCTTCTAGTTTTGTTACCATCCGAGGAAATGATAATCGAGAGACTCAAACAACGTAAAATCCCAATAAATATGATAAAGTAAAGATCTTTTTATATATGTATAATTTTTTTGTAACTCTTATTTACTTTCATTACTCATCTATCTTTGTGTTTAGGATCAATCCAAACAAGCTACAGTCGCCGCATCGTAAGCTAGAAGCTTTATTAGCACGAGACGTGGCATTGAAAGAAACAGCTCAGAGAGCTTTTGTATCATATATCAAATCAGTTTTTTTAATGAAGGATAAAGAAATCTTCAATGTGCATGCTTTAAACACAGATAAATTTGCCAAGTAAGCATTTTTTAAATCATTCATCATTGAATATAAATCATTATTGAACATTTCTTCATAGTAGAACTTTTTATAGATCATTAGGTTTAGCCATACCTCCGAGAATCCGATTTTTACAACGAATACAGAAGAAAATATCGAATAATAACGTCAAGACTGAAAAAGAAATAGATCGAAATTCAACTAATTCAGCAGATAACAGCGATCAGGAAGATAGTGGAGATAATTCTGATAAAAGTGATATTTCTAATAAAAATAGAAGTGAAAAAAGAATAAGTAAAGAGGAAAAAACTATTCAGATTAGTAAGAAAATCGAAAATCACTTTTATAATAAGATATATTATAAATGTCTTATTTCTTATGTGTAAAGAAAACATGTTTAACTATGAGTAATTTGTATCTTTTTAGATGATAGTGATGACGAAGACATATTAACTATAAAAAGAAAAAATATTGATATCGATGATATTCCTGTGACAGAGAATGAAGATAAAAAGACTTCAAACAAAAAAAAATCTATAACAAAAGTTGCACTTGCTAAAAAGATTCTCAGAAAGAAGATTGTACCTAATAAAAAGACTATGTTTGATGATGAGGGCCAAGTAAGAATTTTATATTACAAATTATTACATATTATATATA